TTTACTATTTAAATTGTTTATTGAATAAATTAATGAGTATGTACGATAGTTAATAAACGACTATCCTAAAATTGGCACTAGTAGTTTTGCAAGGCTCCACAAGACTATGTTAATGACCGACATTTTTGGCTTATTTTTACCATAACTCACAAGGGGAGGCTTCAGACGTGGGATCACCAATGATAATGAAACTTTTTAAAATAAAGCTTTATGCCTTCATTTATTTGTTTTTTACCAGGGATAAGAAAATAATACGCAAGATCGTATTAAAAGAGAATAAATAAATAAAAAGTTACAAAAATTTGTTTTCAAGACGGTGTTTGGTGTATCGCTTAAAAGTAACCACTGGATTTTCAATGTTCCACGATAGTACAACGGTTGGAAAGCTGCATTTTTCATCTAGGTCATTCTAGTTTTTATGTCAATATTAAAATAAGTATGAAATTAAACAACAGCCCAAACGTTTACATTTGTGTGATTAGTTCTTGGTTTTAGGTTCAATACGCCTGTAAGATTTCATGTGGAATCTGCTTTGCTAGGTCGCTAGGTCACAATTTATGTTTTTTTTTTAAATAGATACACATTTGCTCGCTCGCAGAAAGATTCTTTTTATGTTTTACAAAGTAGATTAAATTAATTTTTATCGAGAAACCAAGGTGATATCGTTTCCTGCACTACAAAAACCCCGAAGGCAAAATTTGTAGAAAAAATTCTGAAATTGTTCATCCAAATGCCTATTTTTTTCTAAAATATTACAAATGATGCTAATTATCGATTCCACCAATCCACAGGAAATTTCACAGGGCCTTAGAACCCTATGAACTGCACGCGAAGTCACATACTTGAACTCCGTAAATAAATTATAACTGTAGATATGAAATAAAATGTTCGAGGAGTTTGTTTTAATTTTACCCTGACTTTTTTCTCTTATAATGTCATATAATCTAATATTTGTTAAGAAATACCTAAAGAATGGTTCTAGTGGTACTAATAAGGTTAAATATGGATAAAATCCAGAGGTGGTATAAATTTAAGTAAAAAACGGACATTGGCGAGAAAAATTGCCTAGCTGATTCAGCTCAAAATGTTAATATTTTATTGTAATATAAATTCATATTTAAGGGTTATAAAAAATTCTAAAATTGAATCTTAATTGTTGTTGATTTTTTTCCGACAAAAATGAATTTTGTCCTATTATACACGAAACTTCTTTTGGTTAACTGATATAAATAACCACTAAATGTTTACTTAGCAAAGTCAGAAACCCCTCCCCCAAAAAAAAAAAAAAAAAAAAAATTAAATATACTTATCATATTGTGGCAAGAACACTCGTACACCCGCCTAATATATTTCGACGTAGTATCTCCAAAAATATTTCATTCGAATCTGTGACTCCCTTTATTAGTGACAACCAAATTATATTTTTGGTGTATACAAAATTAGGCCAAGGTACAAAACGGAAGTACTTAAATATTGAAAATATACAAAAATAACATATGCAACAGTAAAAAACTCACGACTACACAAGTTAAGAGAAGCTCACACACATCGTTTACACCATTTAAGGCATTATTTCAATTAAAAAGAAAAAACAATGCCAATACAACTTTCACAAGATTAAAACTTGACTAAACACAAACCCAATGAAGGACCGAAGATGGCGAGGAGCTGAAACTGTGTCTGACAGACCAAAACAAAGGATGGGTAGACCTAACCGATCGGACTAAACCACAATGTAATACTACGTTTTCAACTTTTGCAGTGGGGAAAAAAACACTCGATAACTAAAGGGTTTTGCAATTAAATAATAAAATTAGAGCTTGACTGTGAATAAACAGTATCAAAAAAATTTACTAATTTTATAAACAAAATTGTTAGAGTGGAACATTATCGACTGTGGGGTCTTAGATTTCGGAATAATGGACGTAAGCATTGTCTCTTCTCTTCCTGGATCTCCCTCTCAGGTTCCCGCGGGATCGTTAATAACTCAAGACGCCCCTAAACACCTCCTTAACATCCCGGATTATCCAGCCGTGAGCCGGCAACATGAGTTACAGCGAGCTCCACTTTACTCCAATGACGGACGTGCTCGCCGGGACTGAGTTTCGTGCCACGTGGAAAAAAGGATTCAGGGCTTTCACACCTCTCCGCCGAATTCCGAACAAAACCACAAAATAAGAACCTTTTTTTTCTGTTTCCCCGCAAACTCTTGTTTTATACTACAGTGTAAACAACGTGAAGCTCAGTTGACATCTAACAATATCCCAATGTACAAATGGAATTTCATTTTTTTAAATTATTAGCATGTTTGTGAAAATTGGACAAAATCTTAAGCCATTAACTAACCAAAAAGAAAATAATCGCAAAAAATGATGGTTAACAAAATTGAATTTAAATTTATTTATTTAAATTAAAAGAGTTTATTTGCAGTATCTAAACGAGCCTATTACGTGTAAACAACATACATTATATTTATTTTATTTTATTTATTTAATATTGATTTATTTCATTTTTTAACGACGGTTCCCAACAGCAGAATTTATATCAACCCTCGGGGTGCCGGTGTTTTTGAAAAAAGCCCATTTGTAAGTATGTCGAGTTCGAATGCAGGGCTGCGGGATTCGAACCTGGGACCTTTGATTGATGAGCGCCGTGTCAACGCCTACCGTTGCGGCCACCGACGCCCCCAAACAAACAACATAAACTATACATACATATAATATTGTAGTGTACATCAAATAAACCTTTATCGGATACAAAAAAAATCAGCTTCCTGCCTCACCCCGCGTATAACCCTGATAGTTTACCACGACTGCACTTTTTTAAAAATAATTTTAACTTTTTTGTACTAAATTTTGAAAGTTTTTGTCTGTTCAATAGCTTATCAACGAAGCATTTTATCTTAAATAATGAAAAATATATTAAAATTGGGCCACGCAATTTAAAAAAAAAAGAAAAAAATACATAGAGATACCTTCATTGAACTTTTTAATTTAATCAAGACCTAGATAAAAAGAATAATTACTTGAAATAATTAATATGGTCAATTATGACCGCTAAACATATATGGGATTTTTCATTTCATTTATTGAAGAATTCGTAATTTTAAACCAACTTAAGATCCTTCAAAATGGATGCGCATGTAAGATTTGTTATACTGATATCATACGCAATTGCCTTAAATAATTAAAAGTGTTGCGCTACACGATTTAAAAAGCACCTATAACCAGACAAAAACGGATAAGGATCAAACTCATATTCACTTAAGATCACCCATCCAAAAATTAGATTCAAAGGTTTAATGAAGATAAAATAAATCTAATCCCGTAAGTTTTATCGTAATTAAAACTTGTTAAATATTTAATTAATAGCAGTAGGGGGCACTTTGGACAAAACTGGTGATTAGTGGGTCGCACAAAGGCGGGTGATCTTATTTTACGAGTCAAATGCGTTTCTGCTCAAAATACACGGTTCATTCATCTAAATACTTTTACATAATTAATTATATCTGAGATAAACCGTGAGGCTAAGCTATGATTCATCTATTATGTCATCATTCAAACCAGTTGACAAAATTACTTCGATTGGAATCTCTTTTGGATGTTAGAAGCCCAGATATCATCATTCATAATCTAGTGCCCTCGGCGAATTTTTCTCATTTGTGAAACAACCTGAATTATCAGATATTTCATCACAGTGGGCTTAACATCCGAATCTGGTCAGTCGGCGGGAAAAGTCAAACTAAAGGTTATTGACTGTACAAAACAATCTCGCAACGATTAGACATTAAAAACAATGGTTCGTTTTAAATCAATTGAAACTAGATAAAGTGTTGGCACGTATTTTTAAACAGCATATAATCAATTTGGCCCATAACCGGTGCCCCCTCGGTGAAGTTTATCGTGCCGCGTTATTTTGATGGCAGGGGGCTGGAGGGTGAATCGATCATGTATATTGTACAAGGCACGTAGTGTTTAAGAGCTAATCGAGCGCAATTTACGACCTCCGCGCTCTTTTTAGGACATTTAAAACTTTTTGTTTTTAAGGAATTCATAACTTTTGGTCTGGTGATAACCGTTTTCCTCAAACATTTGCCGGCTAAAGGGAGAAGGAAAGCAGCGAAAATTGTGTTAGTGCTTGATAACCCCGACAACCCTCGGCCGGGGTTGACTCTAAAAGGTCGCACTCACAGTTCACCTTTTACTCCAGAATCAGGATTTATACCTCTTTAACTTTTGCCTGCGTCTTCATCTTGTTTCTCCGGCCTAATTTGATCTCGTTTTAATGTTTATTTCTCTGTTTTAAGTAAATGTAAATCTTTTCCTGTATTTCCCTAATGTATAAGCCGAAGTTAATTACTTTGAAAGCCAGTGTAGGACACGACTGGAACGCGTTTGTTCAAAATTAAGCGTATATTTCTTTTACGTTAGGAACGGTATGTTACCATGCAAATTTTTCACAAAGACAAACAGAAAATAGCCCAGTGAAAAACCCTCGATTTGAGATTGATCTAACGTTTCGGAAGCTTGGGTCAAAACCCCATTTCAGGAGCGAATAGGTTCAGTCAATGTCCCATGTTACCCTTTCCTTCCCGAAATGTAGTCTTCTCGCTCTGAGAAAGCCGCGACGGCAATTGGTCAATTATTTTATTTCGTCGGTGTGCCCTCGTTTCGCTCAAGGGGCTGAACAATTTGCCCCGGACACCGGTTATGCAAATCTGGCCGGAAAAAATAGCGTTTTCGAATCGGCGCTGATACAATATCCTTTTGCCCTGTGGGCTTAGAAAATCACCGCGGCTTTCACGTGCGAAACCCGCCAACAAACACGTGTTTTTGTTAAATTACACTAGGATTCCGCTTTGTTTCACTGGTATCCTTAATTGCCCAAAAAAATCTGCCTATGTAAACATATAACAATTTTTTATCTTAAAAAAGCAAAAGAAAAACATTCTTTAAACACACCTGATTTGAGAATAAATATATGTTTTAAATTTGTTTCAAATTAGTCAGCTCAGGCTGGTCAGCTATTGTAAGAAGAACTGTAAGAAATTATCAATCTTACGCTTGTCTTTTTGAATTCTCCATAATTTAAGCATATTATCGGTAATAATAAAAAAACAAATTCTAATTTATGAAGTGTTTATACAATACTATCAAAAAATTGAGTTCACAAACTTCTTTTTCAAGAAAAATATTTCAATGCTGACATATAGTCGTGCAATCATGATCCATTCCAACATACTTGTCTCCTAGGAAGCAAACTGGAAAGTGTTTAGAAAAACAAGGTTTCAAAGTTTGGTCTTGTTATCTCAATCTAATTGGTGAGACTGATTCCTTCGTTGACCAATTGGCTATTGTCTCAGTCGTGATGACTCAATAATGCTGATGACTGTATTTGATGCTGCAGTACTTGAGCGAACACTCTGTAGTTTGAGTACGTACCCAATTATACAAAATCGATATTTTTAAATGAATGTTCTTTAGTGATTCTATTATTAACCGCCTCATTACGTTGTATAGTGTATTTAAATATACTGGAAAAGTTATGATTTTTATTTTTAGTCAATAAGGCTTCAGTTGGCGAACCAATTGTTACTGATACATGAATGGAGAATTTGTCAGGTTGGCGGCCAGAGAATGAACAAAATACAACTAACAATTTCTAAACATAATTCGATAATATTTGTATTTTGTTCCTTCTAGAATGTTTTTTCTGATAAAGAACTATAAAGTCCGAAATATCGCCATAAATAAAAGTCATGAACTGCTGAGTTATCCATTCTCTGGCCGCCAACCCTGACAAATTCTCCAATCACGAATCCCTCATCGGCCTAACAAGAAACACAAACTACAATTGTTACTGGTTTAATCAACCTAGTGCTGAAAAACAAAATAGGGATATTTTTTATATTTGTAAATGTATTTTTTTGACCTGTTTATTCGATTTTTTTCAGGTTCTGCTCATTATTTTACAAGTAAGCTCAGGAGATTTTCATTTATTATTTTCTTTTTGATTTGCTGGTCGACTATTTCACTTTCATTGAGTAATTATGAGTGAATAACAGGTATCACCTTCAAAGAAGTTGATCTTTTTAAATGAAAATTCAATTAACACCAATATTTCCATTTGTAGGGCATGCAACCGGCAATTCTGACTCTGCTGAGCCCTGAGGTTTATTTTCACCGGCACGAAGCGTGACAGAAGTCATTAAAGAAGTAGATGTGAACTGCATCTGAGATATATGGGTTGTAAATATTCTTTAAAACCGACCTATCTACCAGTTCATTTCGACCGGTACAAATTGAATTAACATAAACCTTTAATTTTTTAAATACCTATTTCCATTTGATGCATTTTTTTCGGGGAGCGAATCGCCGTTGCTGTGGGGGACTTTTACAGGTAACCAAGCACGGACCGTATCAAGCAGGTGTTGAAGAAACAACCTATGGAAGGGACATCTGCTTACAATGAAGTGCAGTTTAGAATGATTCCAATACATTTGTTTTAAAAAATATTTGCCAGAATAAATGATCTTAAACATTTGACATTCTGCCCTTAGTAAATTTTAACAAAAAAAATATTGGGATCAATAATGAAAAACTGTCGAGTTCATACGCTCGCAGATAAAATTCAATTAACTCCTTCTGTAGAGTTCATAACTTTGTTCTTTTTGCAAAAATTGAAATACAATTTTGAATTCGATCTAATTATTTCAAATATTTTTCTTCTGTTTCACAATTCATCATTGCTGCTATTTACATATAAATTAATGTCTCCAGATGAAATGAGAAAAGACCTTATAAGTTGAATGCAAATTATGAGTAAGTAAGCGGATAATGAAAGAATGTCAGTTTACATTTTTGTCTTTGTTTGCATGCATGTTATTAAATTTTGTTTCAAGTAATATTATTCTTTGTAGAAAATTGATTGTGATGGTGTGTTTTTTGCACTACCGGTTATAAAATACACTAGTAATATGAATTATTTTTTTTAAATGTCAAATTACTAATTATACATTTTGCACATTTTAAACACATTTTAAAATCAATATTTATTTAAGGTTAAACTGTATAAATCAAGCATAATTCGAAAGGAATTTTTTATATATAATAAAACAGTTAAAAAATAAAATTTGAAAATAAAAAATTTAATATAGAAAATTGAAAAAGAATAATAGTTAAGAATTAAAGAAAAACGGAGTGGGGGTACACCGGATACGTGCATGCTCCGTAGGCCGGCTACCATCTTCTCCCCACCACCACCTCCCACCATTTTTAAATTATTATTATTTTCCCCAGGTTTATGCATTGTTTATTTTATTGTTAACTTTGCAAAATAAATGTTTAATGAGCAACACCTCGGGGGAGAACGGGCCAAAGAAACATTGCCCAATATGATAATCTGGTATCTCATAAATAATTCAAAGGCGGGCCAAGTTGTGACACAAAATAAAATTAACAGATGAACTTAGAAAGTGACATGTACGTGATTTTGTATGAGAAAAATTTTTAATTATGAATAATCTTTATTATGTAATAAAATATTATGTGAAGAGAAAAATATAATTTGAGACAAATTTAGGCAATTATGTATTTATAATATGGTTTTTACATAATATTAAAACTCGTTTTAGAAACAACTGAGAACAAATTTGCGACGTTTTTGAAAATTAAAAATATTTGCATTATTATTTCCTTTATGGTTAAAAAAATAGCTTCCAAATAGGTCTAACTTTTATGTCAATTACTATAAATTGAGAAATAATTTAAAATATACAGAAGAAACCTCGAAGTACACTGTTTTCAATATACTTTGATTGGTCGACGCTAACCCCTGTGAAGTTTCACTATTGAGGATGACGTGGACAAACGATCATTAAACCGAACCATCTATGAGGCTAGGATGTCTAATTAACCAACATAAAGTTTTGTAACGCTGAACCGGCAACGCGTTGGTTCTCTCTTTCTCTCTAACTCACTCACTCACTCACTCTCTCTCTCTCTCTCTCTCTCTCTCTCTCTCTCTCTCTCTCTCGCACACACATTCAATTTAAATGCAATATTAAATGCACATTTAACAAAAATGAAAGTAAAGTAATTCCTGTCATACAAGAGGGCTTAAACTTACAGCTACACGTTTGGTATCGCGGACGAAGAACAAACCACACTATTATTTATTAATTTATTCTCAGATAAAATTCAAAGGGCCAAGCAGAGATTCGAACCAGAACCTCTGGCGATGGAAACGCCAGAATCGAACGCCCTAACTAATTTAGTAAAAAAATAAATGGATATGTTAATAAATTATGCTTTTATACGATTTAATCATTACATACATATGAAATTATTATACATTAAATTGATAATTTCAATCCAAATCATTCCCAAATAAAATTCAAATGGCAACGCCGGGATTCGAACCCAGAACCACTAGCGATGGAAACGCGAGAATCGAACGCCACAACTACTTGATAATCACGTAACCAGTGAAGCAATCAATGGATATGTAAAAAAAGATGTTTTTACACGATTACTGTTAATCATTACATACATATACAATTATTATACATAGAATAGATAATTTCAATTCAAATTATTCCCAAATAAAATTCAAGGGGCAACGCCGGGATTCGAACCCAGAACCTCTAGCGATGGAAATGCCATACTCGAACGTCTTAACTACTCGATAACCACGTACCCAGTAAAAGAATCAATGGATATAATGTTTTTATACGATTACAGTTAATCATTATTGTATGGTGTTTGGTGACCGTTAGTCAATGATTATTCGGAGATCGTGAGATGAGGCCGGATGAGGTTTTAGAAAAACATTTTCTTTATCGTGCCAACGTTTCGATCTTTATTGAGGTCATCTTCAGAGATTAAAATAAATATTGTTTGAATTTTACAAATAGATGGATTTTTCCACACCCTACATGTTTTTGTAAAATTCAAACAATGTTTATAAATCCCAGGCCCTGAAGATGATCTCAATAAAGATCGAAACGTTGGCACTATAAAGAAAACGTTATTCTAAAATATACGTCACACCGCATCTCACGATCTCCGAATAATCGTTATAAACATATGTAATTATTATACATTGAATTGATAATTTCTGAAAACATGAGTTATATTTTGTATTTGTTATAGTTAAGGAACAATGTTAGTAATATATGGGAAGCATTTTCGTCAGGTTTTCAATTTTTCTCAAGAAAAATTGTTCTGCACCAATGTTGTCTTGAGTGGAGTTCAATAATAAGTAGGAAATAGTATTCAATGATTAAAAAAACATTTATAATCAAAAATATTCAAGTGCGTGTAACATGTGTACATCTCTAACCGTTCAACTGAGGCGGGTGAAGGCCCTCAAAAAATTCTTCTCCGCGGTAAAAGTCATGTTAATCGACCACGAGGGTTGTAATGAGTTAGCGGCCTCTTACGCTGTGGTTGCCCGCTACTATCCGCACCAAAAACATCATCCTATGAGATTATTATTTATTAGAAGAGGATTATTGCCTTGAAAATATCGGCCAATTGATTTGCGGCCCTCGGTATTTATTTATCGCGTGAATATTTCGTTTATTGCCGGCGAGTCGGTCCCGGTTAAAAAGGCTTAATTTGACAGTTTTATTTCTTAATTGTGGATAGGGTGCGTGGGCGGAAAAACTGGTTTATAATGTAATTGGAATTTATGGATTTATTTCAATTAGACCTATTTGATTGGGATGTTATCGGTGGAATAAATCTGATGTTTTTGTACCGTTTCACATTAGGACAAGAGATGATAAGAGCCGGTTTTCGTCCTGAGTGTAATTGGTTTAATTTTTATTTTCTACTCGGTTAATTCACTTTCCAAGTGCACTTGCGGCCCACTCTTATAGTAAAATCATTAAAACAGACACAACATACATCAGAATCAGGAACAAGGCTATTTAGAAAGAAAACTTATTTCCCATGTCCAGCTTCGAAATATCCCCTTCATCAGGACTATGAAATACAACTACAAATTTAGAAGGTTAATTAAAATGAAAGTGTATATTCAATCTTTTCAATTTTATTTGGATTAACGCATCGTAAAAATTAACAGGATAATCAGATTTGGCGCACAATGGGACGACCAGGTTAGGACCAAACTTCACTTCCCGTGAATGAGCCCTGATTTCGCAAAAAAAAAACAATTGAAAAATAAATTGTCCGTTTTTTAATATTTCTACTGCGTCGTCCTACTTTCTGAAATCAAGTGTGAATATATCAAAGCTAAAAGCTATCGAAGTTTATCAATAACCAAAAAATTTCAAAAAACCAAATATTTTTTAAGTACACTGTCATAAACATTTTTTTTCGTGAAACTAATATAAAATTGCGTTTTAGTACCGCTAGAATCCACTAAATATAAATGTTTGTTTGAATTTAAATCTAGAGATTTTTTGACCCCTAATGGTTTTCCGATTTTTAAAAAGTCGTTCTCGGAATATTTCATTGAAACGGATATAATTCAAAAACGGCTAAAAGGATTTTAACGTGAAACATACCATTTGAACGAAGAGAAATGTAGCTTTTTAAGGAGGTATGTACTGTCTGAATTTAACCTCGTTTTTTAAAATGGAAATAATAGTCCGATTTTAATCTTTGATACGGTTTTAAAATGCACTTGACAATTTCTTTAAAACGAAATCGGTCTCCGGTCGAAATTATTAGTCAAAAAATTAATTTACACCGATATCCGCGAAAGTCGGTATCTAAGAAGTTTTGACATTTTCTGGTCCGCTTTGCTTACAGGATGTTTATTAAAATATGCAAAAAAGCAGTATTTTGTTGATTTTCTTTTTAAATCATACCAAATGAGAATATTCGCGCCATAGAACATTTTTGTTTTTATCTTCACCAAAAATGAAATTAATACACCAAAAATAATATTTTTATGAACATTAAATAACAATTTATGATCTTTTAATTGAACTTAAAAGAGTTCGAAAAAAAGCTTCATTAACGAATCGTTATAGTTACACATAGTCGAGTAAGTAGAACGGCGAAATAAAAATATTCAAACCATTTCAATTTTCAAAAATGATTTTTTTTTCGCGAAACGAGGACCTATTTATAAGAAGTGGCGGATATGTGTCCAATAGTTTGGAGTGTAGAATCACCAAAATAAAGCTTGGTCCAAATCCGTGACCCACAAGCCTGATCGTCCCCTTGTTATAGTTTTTGTTATCAACTATAAGTATAAACTAATTCATTAAATTCACTAATTTCGTGGTCCGCTTGACCAATATATATACCAATATATTCCTAATGTTGTACAACAGCAGAAACAACTGTCTTAACAACAGTGGAGAGATAAGAACAAAAAATAAAGAACTGTGTCGGACGAACACTAAAACAACATTTTCATTTTGAAAAATGAAAGCTCTCTGGTACATAATAATCTTGTCTTAATTATAACAAAAGACTGTTCTCTGAAAATCTATTTCTATTCTTAGTTTTCCAATTGTTTAATAAGTATGTAATAGAAAAATGATTCTATGTATAATAGAAACTTAGAACGTCCTTTTCCACCTGAAATTAAACTAGTACCAAACTGGAGCAGGTTTCAAATTAAAAAACAATTTACTAAACCATCTGTTTCTATATAAATAGTAAAATAAATAGAGAAAAT